GACAACAAAGGAAGCGACATCCCTGGCCGACATGAAGGAACTGAGCCTTCAGTGAGCTGGCTACTATGACCCTTCATACAGAGATAAAGCTGGAAATCCTTTATCTTTAGCCCATTTCATTCCATATAAAACCAAAGCAAGTTAATTTTCTAAGTAAAACACAAGGCCTCATACTTCTATTCATGAAAATTCCCACAACCTGGCATTGGGATAATACACCAGGCTTTCTCATGGTGCAATTTTGCCGTTTTCACTACTTCAGTTCTTTTTTCAGTTCTCACAAACCCCTGATTCTCATAGGTTTGGAAATAACTAAGAACTTCCTCTTTTCCTAGAATTCCTTTATTTTCCCTAGAAGGGCCTTTACACCCTGTTCAAGGGACCCTCACTTACAACTCCTTGCTGATGTGAGTAGTCTCCTACAGTGTAAAGGTTGCAGGAGTGCAGACAAAGCAGCTTGCAAGGATCCCAGTGTAGGTATATTTTGTTTACATGAGCAGTCACTGCTGATCTCTACCCCCTGCCAAGTAAGCCAAGATTAGTGAAATCTTCTAACTGGTATTTAAGCATGCTGCCATACATGCTGTTTTCACGAGGCTTTAAAAGGGCCAGGAAATAAATGTCGTCCAGTCACAAAATATATACCTTCATTCTCCTTTTGACATCAGATCAAGGGCACACTAACTGATCTTGGCAGGGTGTTCAACCTGTAGATCAATGAGACCATAGCAAGTTGTGCTCTTTTGCTTTACAGTATAACGTAGCCACTACCAGTAAATTCTTTCATCCATTAGAACTCAATCCTGTTATTAAACAATGACTGGGATACAGATAGAAATTACACACGCTTTCAACTCTATATTCAGAAAAATACAGAACTGAAATGTCACAACTAGTAATTCATGCTGAACTTTCCAAAAGTAGCAGCTCAAATATTGAAGACACCCTGGCTAAAAACTTCGGCTTGCTCTATTTATGTTCTTAGCACACATCCTTCAGTGAGAGACACATAACTCGATAACTTGTGGTTATAAAAGGTTCTCAGCCTTCCACTAGCTTTTATTTTTAGCCTCTCACTGTCAGGGCCTCAGGGAGCACAGAGGGAGGGCAGCAGCTCCCCAGGCATGGCAATGGCACCTGGGGTTCCTGGGGGACTGTGGGACCACAGGGAGGAGCAGCCTGTGTCTAGGGCCCTGCTGCAGTGAGGAAGGTTGCAGGAGGCACTGGGCACACAGAGCTCAAAAATTAAAACTCCTTCTTTTTATTTTTTTTTTTCTGACTGATACCTTACAATTTCATCTTCTCCCCATCTAAGTCAATCAGAAATAATTCCTGTTATCCCAGATGGTGTTGGTGCATCCTTGGGGTTTGCAGAAACCCCACTGCCAGGAGAGTGGAAAATCCCTCCGTGACACTGTCAGCACATCTGACATTGCTCCTTCTTTGTGTTTTAGATAAGGAAAGTGGAATACATTTCCTCAGGAAGAAGACATGAAGTGTTTATAAATGCTGTCACCAACTGGGGTGTTAATCTGAGTCACCAGCACTTATTGGGCCACTTGGAACAGACTGAAATGACAGATTTCCCCTGAACTCCAGGGGAGATCAGAACTCATTTCAGCGCTGTCACTGCCCTGATCAGCACAGTCATACAGGTGTCTGGGACAAAAGCAAGCTGTTGGAAGTGACTTTCTCATTTCCCTTTTTTTTTTTTTTTAAATACGACAGTTGTAAGACTTTTGTGCCCCAAAACATTTCTGTGTTATTATTGTGACCTCTGCTTTTATTCTACAATACAGAGAAGCGTAAAGTCATTACAGTGGGATAAAAACCCAAAGATTAATAGCCAGCTGAACCAAAGTGGTCCTCATGTTTGAAATAAATATCAGCCCCCAGCCAGTCATATTACTGCTATTTAAATCTTCATCATAATGCCTGTATTTAACATTGCATCACCCCCTGTTCAGCTTTTCTCCCCAAGGCAGCACACTAGTTCCTGAAGTGCAGGTTTTTCTGCAACCCGATTAGATATTCTTTTCAGGAAATTTCCCCTAGCTGCTCCAAACTTTACAAGTTACTTTTTACACTGAAGTGCCTCAGTGCTCTGTGATAATATGTATATTGCATTCTGTGTGCTATACTGCAATACCACGCAATGCTGTGTTATACTGCTCTAGATGCAGTACCGAGGGCTCTACCAGGAAGAAACTACTGAAACACAATAGCTATAGAAACATTAGGATTCTGAGATCCATTATGTTCTGAATAGAGCAAAGTTAAATATTTATTTCCCAGCTATTGATACTTTATGAGACCGTTGTAAGTGTCCATGGCTGCTCTGCATGTGTTTGAAAAGCAGTGTTCCTACCTATGTGGAAAGAGCTCTCAACAGCAGCACTGATGACTCCACCTGCACTCAGCTCCCACTCTCCACTATTTGTAGGATCCCAAGAATTGAATTAAAACATCAAAACTAAAGAGCTAAAGCATCATCTCAGAGAAATTCACTATTTTTTCCACATTTATTCAGGCATGACATTCTCCCTTCAGAAATTATTCTAACATAAAACCAGCTCAGTATGTGAAAATACTATTTTAAAAGCCTACCAAAACTTTTAAGCTACTGTTTTTTCCTCTTTCAGATACCTCTACTACTGAATCATTGCATTCACAGTCATAGAATTAAACAAACTTACACTTCACAGGTAGTGAGATATGGAAAAGTAACAAAAAAACTATTCAGTCTCTAGGGGAGTATTTTTTCCTACAGTAATTTTCTGTATGGCATAAAGGCAAACCACATATAGAATACATGCCGGTGTGGCAAAAAATCAGAAGTATTTTTGTTTGAACTTAAGTTGAGGTAATGCTCATAGCTCACGTGTGGTTTGGAGTAATGCAACCACACAAAATGCATGCAGAGAATAAAAAATGCCACCAGGACATCTATTTTTGTGTAAATCCTCAATAGCACATGCTGCAAATCACAAGTGTTCTTCTAAGACAAAACAAGTTTTTTGAGTATAACTTTATCAACCAGACCTTTCAACCAGGTCCATTTATTCAAGGAGCTACCCCTTTCTTATTGTTTCCTAACTTTGTAAGCTATCAAAGGTTTAGTATTTATTATAAACATGTATCTAAATCTCTATTCTTAATGATTACATTTAGAAATCTAAATATTTGCAGTAGGGGAGGAAGCGCAGAAATGTGCACCTTGACACATTATCATTTTGAAGTAATTCAGAAATCTGCCCTGAAAAATTTATGAAAGCAAAAGAAGCAAAGTAGGAAGATGTATAAATCAGGAAATGCTACCCATTAGAAAAGAAAACTTAAACCCAGTATTTTACTGCAAAATCTATCTGAACTTTGGGGCACTGGTATTTAAATGTTAATAACATATTAGGTAACAAAGTCTTAATGGCTGTCAGGTTTCTCTTTGTATCCAAGCCCAGGTGATGCAGTTCCCTCTTCCTCAAATATCTTTAGTTCTGAAGAGCTAAAATACTTGTATCCCTGTCTTTGTGGAGCCAATGGGAAAAGATTTCATTCAGCTGAATGCAGAAAGAAATAACAAGCCACCTCAAAGAAACATTCAAAAACATTCAAAACGTTTCAGGTCATACTAAAACTTACTGAAACTTCATTGCAGCCAGTGAAACAGAGGCATCTTTTACAATACTGTCAGTATTGCAGATACCACAGGCTGGGGACATTGCAATTAATTATATTTTATTAAACCAGGAACAAGAAATAGTCAACTAATGCATAATTTTTTCAGTGGTGAAATATGTATTTTACAGGACACAGATCATTTTATGTGATTTCTAGGACATAAATGTCAACCCAGCTTTTTTATTACACTGGTTGAATTTATTTAATGAGCTGTCCTACAATGGAGGCCAGCCCTGCATTTTTCACTTGCTTCTGCAGGGAATTTCTGTAGTGAGCAAATAAGCCTGGGTCTAATCTGCTTCCGTCTGCAGTCATTTGAAAAATGATGCTTGGCAAACAGCTCTGCACAGCCTTGCCATCTGACGGAGACCAGTTCCTCACACCAAGAGACTGAGCAGGCTGGGAAGCGCATCTACCTTACCTACAGCAACGAGCCAGCTCTTTTTACTCTGCAAATCCTGCAACCATGGCAGGGCCAGCTCTGGGAAAGCTCCTTTTCCTGCACTGCTACCCAAGGGATGGAGAAACAATTGTCAAACACAGGGGAGGAACTGAGGGCTTAATTTGCCTCCAACTCACTTAGTCTTTTCCCCGGCTGAGTAACGGGGTGTCAAATAGCCTCTGGTTACCGATGGTAACCCGGGAGCCTCCAGGGTCAATTCCTCACTCATGTCCTATAACCCTGGAAAAGGAAAGCTCTCTGCCGGGCAGACCAGAACACCACTGACAAACGATTACCTGCCAAACAAGGGACAGCAGTGACGAGAACCCCTGACTACTTCACCAGAGATGAAAAAACGGGATTTTCTGTGAGGTGCGGTCCGTGCAGCCCTGCTGGGGCTCACGCAGCCGCGGGGCCTGAGTGCTGCAGCCATCCCCGGCCTGAGGCACACAGCCCCCAAGTCTGGGGGCACCCCTCCCTCCAGGGGTCTTCAGTCATCACATTTTCATCCCCCAAATAGCTTTTTCCTTGAGATCCAGTCGAGCCTGCCCGAGCACTGTATCTCCTGCCCCCGCTCCCCTGACCCTTAAACACGCACATGCTTCATGTCCCAGTTTAGGCGGAGCCGAGATCCCAGGCTGTGCCCCGCGGGGGGACGAGCCGGGGCTCAGCGGCGGGAAGCGCCGGAGCTGCCTGCGCATTTCGCTGCTGTAACGACATGACTGCCTCCAAAAACCGCCTGGGCTCCCGGGGGCAGCCTGAGCTGCTGCCATGGGCATCGCCCTCCACGGAGCCCCCGCTCAGACCGCCCCTGCAGCCGGTGCCGAGCGCCCGGAGCGGGGGCCACCCCCGCGGGACGGGGAGAGCCGGGGGCGCTTACCAGGTACCAGACGCCGAGGATGATGGTGCCGGTGCGGACATGGCAGCAGAGGCAGCAGCTGTTGGAGTAGAACCGCGCCCAGGGCGAGCTCAGCATCTCCGCGGTTCCTCGGGCTCCGCACCGCTCCGCGTTCTGGCCGCGCCGCTCCGCGGAGGCGGGGCCGGGCCGGGCCGGGCCGGGCCGCGCTGGGGCCGCCCCTCCCGGCGGGCGGGACCAGCACACGGGCCCAGCCCAGGCAGGGCCGCGGCGGAAGCTTTGTGGCCCCGTTGAGGACCTTGACCTGTCCCCGCTGGAAAACCCGAACTACGAGGGGCTTTCAGAGCACGAAGTCTGGGGAATTCCGCGGGCTGGCAGCCTGGCCGCGGCCTGCGGCGGGTGTTGAGCAGGTGCCGCTCTCCTGGGCGCCCTCCCGCTGCTCCTCTCCCCGCACGGGCTCTCCTGCCTTGGAATGACCCCGGTGAGGGCGAACCCGGGTCGGTGCTTCCTTGGCAAAGGCTCGTCTCGCTCCTTTAGCTCGTCTCGCAATTCTTGACTGGCACAGCAACAGAAATAAACTCTATTTCACTATAAAGAAAGATAATATCGGAGGAGATTAAGGAATGCTTTGAATTTTCCCCAAATTTGGGAGCAATGAACATTCAGTTTCTTCACGGTGCCCTCCTATTCTACTGCCAAAGTTGCTGCTATTAAGGAGGCTGTAATTGCCTCCTGTAACTGATACACAAGGTAACATCAACCTCATTGCGGCTACCTGTGTAGTTAATGCCCTGATGGGCCGTGGGGGAAGCAGCACTGGGAGGACCCACTGCTGTGTATTCAAGCACTGATGCAGGTTTAAGCTAAATTTCCTACCAAGCAGCTGGATTTCCATGTTTTATTATTTGAGATGTATATCATCCTCTGGAGGAAATAACAAAGAATATTCTAACAGGAGGTCTGTATGTCTACCCTTACTCTTACCCTCAGCATAATTTATTTACTGCCATCCAGTTTGGCTTTCTACCAAATCCCACAATTTATCATCAAAATATAACATTGAAAAGTACTCCACAATGCCTCTCTATATGGCTGCTTTGGGGCTCTTCATCATTTCATACATACATCTGCACAGAACAGGAACTTCAAGATAAAAGCTAACTTGGCAAGGAGGAACATTTCTAACTATGCCTTATCTCTACTTGTAAAGCTGCTATAGTAAATTAAATTAAAAATATTTTAAGTAGGAACTTTACATAGCCTATGTTCTTAGTTTGTCCTTAGAAAACTTCCAGGGGTTTGGCAGGGGTTTTTTTGCATAAAGAGAAAAGCCACTTGACATTGAATTTATAATTTTGACTGGATTATATGTATAAGCCAAATATTGTATTTGCAAGATTCATTTTCAAAAATAAAACTAAAATTGTAGTAAAATGAATCATCTATACTGGCAAAATGGAGGGACCAAAGGAAAATCCTGAACTATGAGGTCTGGACTATCTCTCTGGTAACCTTGAGAGACCTTGTCCTTTAATACCAGAAAGTAGGCAAGTTGGAGACAAAACCCTTGTATGTATGCCTTTTAAATGCACATAGAAGTTAAAAGCGTCTGCTTCATGAAAGTTATCTGATCAAGGACCTGATCTTTTCAAAGCGAAAGGGGCAATAAATATAGAAGGATTCCATAAACAAGGACCCACAGTTGCAAACCTGGTGGACAAGGGACAAAGGAGACAATGCCAAAACCCAAAAGTCTCAGGTTACTGATTGATGGGCCATTGAAGAGCTTTGGACTGGGTCACCTGGAGTTTGTAACTGATAAGGGTCACACAAGTAGACAAAACTTTGAAAGGAATAATTAGAGGAAGGGGATCAGGAAGGAGGAAGGGGGAGGATCAGACAGAAAGGGGGATAACGGGGTTCAGTAATGTGTGAAGTCTGACGGAACCCTCTGCTTGCTCACCCTCTCTTACGGAAGCTGTAACTGTCTCTCTGTGTAGTCTCCACTCTCCACACAGCATGTGTGTGGGCTGTAGGAGCAAGTGCCAGCTCCTGGGGGGACTGGGTGAAGGAGGGGCTCAGTGCCAGCGGCTGGAGTGGACCATGGGTCACAGCCTGATGCCTGGGGCTGGCTGCTGGGGGTGGGTTATTCACTTGCAAGCATCAAGCTGGACCAGCTGGTCTATACTTGGGTCTTCTGCGAGTCCTACATGTAGGAGGCACAGATGAAGATAGCACCTTGTCTGTGGCCATCTGTGCAGCTGTCCCTGTTGAGGTCCTGTGTCTGCAAATGGGAAAGCAGCAGCTGCATCCCTCAGACTGGGATGGGCACAACAATCTGGGCTTTAGCAGATAGGCAGGAGAAACTCCAGGCCCTGGAGACAGTCACTGCTTATAACATCTCCCAGCACAACCGTTATCTCTGCAAGGAGAAATGAACTTCATGTCTGCTTTTGCTTATGGTTTCCCATCAGCTTTAACCTCCATATCCTCAGAAGAAAAAGGAAGGAAGAATGAGGAGATGAACACTAATCACTTCAGAGCAGTTTCCTGTATAATTATTAATTTCCATTCAAAAAGCCTGATGAGAAAGATCAGGAAACATTAGGTTTCATGTAACACTCTTGATTTATAACCAACTGCACTTGGTTTGCTCTGCAAGGTTTTGGTAGCTGGGAGGCTTCAGAGCCTGAGTATTGCTTACACTTACTGACCCATAACCACAGTCTCCGTAGGTAAAGCCACCATGCCATTCACTTTGCCTTATAAAACTAGAAAGGATAAACACTTTTTACTGATATGGCTGAGTCCAGCTTATCTGATCTTACACTCATATGGTGGAAGATCATTTAAGATGCAATGGGGACTTTTGAACTGGATGACACCTCAGTTTTGTCAAGGTTCCTAGAGGTACAAGAGACACTCCAGATTGTCATCTTCGTACATCAGATCTGAACAGGACCAGTATCACTGCCTCACTCAGAAAAATGATATAAACTCAAGTGAATTGACAGCCTACTTACAAGCATTTGTTTTAGTCGTGCTAAAAGTAGATAATCTTTCCAGTGGGATCCGCGATATGGTAAGAAATTTTTCCAAGGGAACATTCAGTGCTGAAATTAAACACTCCACACACCCTTGCTCAGCCAGTGGTCAGCGTGAAGGCTGCAGGATGTATCCAGAAGAGAAGTGCAGACCCATGGCCCCCGCCTGCCCCTCCTTACCACAGCAGAGCTGTAATCACTAAACTCATTTCAGACAGCCTCTTGTTCCCCACAGCACACCCTGAGAGCTACACTAGCTAACTGGGGAGGGACCCAGCCCAACTTTGCTTCATTGCCAACTGTTCTCTGTGCTGCAAGCTGTTAGAAAAATCCAGTACATTCTGTGGCCTGCTTCTGATCTGTACTCCCCTGTGTGTTCCCTGAGACCTTCTCACTCCAGGGACAGCTTCTTCCTCCTGCCAGAGGATGCTCTGATCCATTTGGCATTTTCTTGTGCTTTCTAGTCTCACTAAAATTGGTTACTGGTACTTCCCAACTTTTTCAATACTTATCTGAACAAGATTACTGGAAGAGAACAGTTGGCTCAGAAGCTGCTCCTTGTTCCCACCTTCTATCTGTACTCACAGTCCACAGAGATGGTGCAGCATAGTTCAACTGGCTTTGAATAATTCAATTACACTGTTGCCCAGCACTGCCTGCGGCACATAAACAAAAGGGCAGCTCACGGGAATCTCATCTTCTGCTTGTGGGATTAGCCACAGTGCTCCAGAGACATTGTTACTCCAGAGACATTGTTACTTGTTTTGTATTTGGCCAGGGTAAGACAAGATAAGAAAAGGGTTAAACATTGTCCAGAAACCAAGGTCTGCATATTGTCCTTGGGCACAGAGAGGTGACAGCATTGTGAAACTGACTGTGACTATAGTAAAGAGTCACTTTAAGAGTCTAAGCTTTTGTTCAGCTTGCTCCAGAGCTTGTGTTTCATGATGGCTGCAAATGATTAAAGTACGAAATATTTAATATGACTAAGTTTAAAAAACACCCATGCTTTCTGAAAAAAGTAAGCCTCCAAATAAAGGTCTGATACTATCTCTCTGCTGCAAAGACTGGCCAACATGCAATCAAATAGGACTGCTGGCATGATTCAGGTTGTGTTCAAGAGGCCATTCATTCTCCTGGTTTGTGTAGAAAAGATCAGAGTGAGAATAGTATTTTCTCTCCAGCATGTTACAACTCAGAATACATTTTAGAAAGCCATTGCAATGACAGAGTTTGGTGTGCAACTGCTTGCACAGAGCTAGTCAAATTCTCATATTTCAATACCAAACAATGGACAACAAATGGTTAGTTGGTTTTGGTGGTTTTGTTTTGTCTTCTAAAAATTATTGAGAGAAATGCTTCGACCTTTTAGCTCTCTGGTGTATTTTGCCATGATTTGCCTAATAGAAAATAGTGATTCTAGTATCTTCGAAAACGGATATACTTAGGCATTTTCTTTCCTGATGGTGAAATGCATTTGCAACTCTAGCTTCCTTGGGCCACAGCTTCTTAATTCTGTTTTAAAGTTGCTGGTTATAAAGATCTTATCATTAAAATATTATGATATATTGGCCCTGCAAAGAACTTAAATGTTCTCCAAGGAAAATGTTGCTTTAGTGCATCCTTCCTTTCCCCCTTTTCTGACTTGAAAGCCTCTCAGTTCTGCTGTGAAGATATAGGACTCAAGAAGGCTGGTGAGTTCTGCAGTACACTGAGATCCAGCTCTTTTTTTCCTGGCCTTCTCATTCATGCCAGCCTCACAGATTAGTTTTAACATTTTGTGTGAGAAGAAATGATCTGTGCTACATTAAGCAGAAACATCAAAAATAGGTTAGGCAGTTATCTAATTATTTGCTTGGCAGTACATTTGCAGTTTGGTAACATGTACTGGAAGCGTATCTTCAGATACAGTGTGCTTTCCACAGGCTGCAGTCTCCTCAGAGGCGTATCTGCTGCAGCACAGAATGCCTGCTTCCAAAAGTATCTGGCTCTTCTGTGTACAGTGCCTTTCTCCTCTCCCTTGCCCGTGCTGTTCTTTCTGAGGCACTTTTGCACACGGTTGCCAGAGGCTCAGGTTTTACCTTGCAGAACATACATAACACTGGAATTAGAGCCTGGCTGTGCCAGTACCCTAGCAATAAAG